CATTTTATGTTAGTATTTTTTAATCATAAAAAGAATGTGCATATTTTTGAAAATCAAATACTGAAAAAGATTTCCAGTGTCTCCTTCCCTACATTCACCCCAAACCCCTCCTCCAGTCCTCAGAAGTAAATACCATTAACTATATTTGTGAACCTTGCAGAATATTTTACTCATCTACAAAATCTGTTGCTGTCTAGTTGATTCTGACTCATGGCAATGCCATGTGCGTCAGGGTAGAACTGCACTCCGTAGAGTTTTCAATGGCTGTGATATGGAGGTGGATTGCCAGGCCTTCCTTCCACAGCACCACTGGGTAGATTCAAACTGGCAACCTTTCACTTAGTCGCAAACTGTGTGCACCACAAACCTACTGCTATCAAGTTGATTCTGACTCATACCGACCCTGTAGGAAAGAGAAAGTTGCCCCCATAGGGCTTCCAAGGCTTTAAATCTTTACAGAAGTAGACTGCCACATCTTTCTTCCACGGAGCAGCTAGTGGGTACAAATGGCTGACATTCTGGTTAGCAGCTAAGTGCTTTAACCATTGTGCCATCAGGGCTCTTCATTCACACCACTGGGGATGGATGGATATATATATTTATCTTGGAAGAAAGATGAGGCAATCTACTTCCGTAGTGATACTGCCTCGGAAACCCAAGGAGGGGTCGCTATGAGTCGGGTCCAACTCGATGGCACATAACAACAACAACAACAAATACATATATATATATATATATATATGTATATATGTATATATATGGGAGCTCTGGTAGCATAGTGGCTAAGACACTTGCCTGCTAACCAGACGGCTGGCGGTTCAAACCCACCAGCCACTCCTCGCAAAGAAGGTTGGGCAATCCTACTTCCGTAGTGATACTGCCTCGGAAACCCAAGGAGGGGTCGCTATGAGTCGGGGCCTACTCGACGGCACATAACAACAACAACAACAACAATGTATATATATATAATTTTATACAAATGGATTATGTGACATGTAGAGTGGTTGCTTACCTTTTCCAATTAAAATGTCATTTCATCCATACAGATTGACTTCAGCGTATAGCTACTTGGTATTCCACTGCATAGATGTACCAGAATTTATAAATAATTCTCTAGCACTGGACCTTTCCTTGATTGTGATTTTTTTAAATTATTGTTCAAAATATACACAGTAAAGCATGCACCAATTAGTTCAACAATTCCTGCATACACAACCCAGTGACACTGATCGCACTCCTCAAATGCTGCGGCCATTCTCACACTCCTCTCCTGAGCTGTTCTTCCTCTGCTGGCATAGACTCCCTCCCTCCGAAGCTTCCTGTCCAATCTTCTGAGTTGCTGTTAACAATTTCATCCCACATGTAAGTTCCTTAAAAGAGCACAGTGCTCACCACAGATATTCTTTAGTAATTAAGCTAGACTGTTGTTTGGTTTAAAGAAGGCTTCAGGGGGAATTTTTGGTTTATGGTTTCAGGGTTAAAGATTATCTCAGGGTGATAATTTCAGGGGTTTATTCAGCCTCAATAGCTCCATAAAGTCTGGATTCCATGAAAATTGAATTGTGTTTTGCATTTTACCCACTTTAGATCAGGATTCTTCTTTAGAATCTTTTCTCAAAATGTTCAGTAAAGTTTACTGGACACCATTCAGCTATTCTGGTGTCCTGACAAAGTAGGCAGTTGTTTGTGGAGGTGATCAACAATACATTCCATTTCCTCCCACTGTTCCTGATTCCTCTTCATCCTTTGTTGTCAAGGCCAATGGAGACAAATTGTTGTACCTTGCATGGCCACCTGTGAGCTTTTAAGATGATTGTGAATGTTTTAAATATGCAGCAAATTTCAAGTCACACATCCTTTTAAAAAGCTTATCTGAAGTGTCATTTAACAAATGACACCATTCCTAGGCCAACGAAAGGGTCTAACCTTTTCCCTCCTTCTACTTAATTCTTCCCTAGGAAGTACTCTAATAAACCAAAAAAAAAAAAAAAAAACCCAACCCACTGCCATTGAGTCAATTGCAAGTCATAGCACGCCGGGTTGGATTTCCTAGGCAGTAAATCTGTAGTAGATTGCTCCATCTGCCTTCTGCAGAGCTGCTGGTGGGTTTAAACCACCAACCTTCTGTTTAGCAGTAAAATGCCTTAGGCACTGCACCACCAGAGCTCCTAAGTACTTTTACAGACATCTAAAAATCTTAAGGTAAAATAGTCCAGATTTTTTAATAGATTATTTAATATATCTATATAATATATCCATAAATTTTAACATGCAGAAAGATACTGGGAAAGATTAGGTGTCTAAATTAACTTGTTTATTTTGGTATCTAAAGCTGTGTCTTGCCTATGATAGACACCTAAAAGATAATTGAATTTAATTTGATTTCACTCTCATTGGTGGGTCTTGGGACCAGCATTTACACGTTACTAGAATCTAGTGGTCAATTCCAAACAAGGTCAAACCATTAGTTTGAGTTCTTAAGGAAAGCTGCAGAGAATCACTGTTTGAGAACTAGCTCACTTGAAGCCTACTGCAAGGAATTTTCAGATTCACAGTGTGAATATGTATTTCCTTTTAAGAATTGTGGATAGTGAAATTTGTCCATGATGAAAATGGAAAGTGGGGAGGAAAGAAGGCAGTATTCTAGGAGAGTTGTTGTTGTTGTTGTTGTTGTTATGTGCCATTGAGTCAGCCCTGACTCATAGCGACCCCTCTGTGGGTTTCCGAGGCAGTATCACTACGGAAGTAGGATTGCCCAACCTTCCTTCCGAGGAGTGGCTGGTGGGTTTGAACCGCCAGCCTTCTGGTCAGCAGTCAAGGACGGGAGTAAAGGAGTCCAGCAGTGCCAGGAGGAGAGGAGCCTTAGATAGGGGATCAAAGATTTTTTGGGAGATGAAGGGTTACAGAGATGAATCATCGAAGTTCTTCTCCTCAAACATGCCACTGTGCTGCAAGTTTACAGGGAGCCAGCACTAACTGAGGATTCCAGAACTGACAGTACCTGCTGTAGTCTCAGAGAAGAGGGCCCTAGCTGTTCATGACAAGGAGGGCCCTGATCTGGGAACAGTCTTGAGGCCTCTAAACAGCCAGAGAGAGAGACTAGTCCATCTACAAACCACTACGGAGTAAGTTTTTTGTGCTAGGTTGGGGTGGAATGGGTAAGAGGAGGGCTAGGAAAGCAAATTGCCCCTTCTCTAACAATTCATTTGACTCCATAGGCTACTTCCCAGATAAATTAAGGCGGGCCCGATGGATGGCAGAAACAACAAACAGCTCACTGTGAGCTTTGCTTCTTAACACTGTAAAGAGGTCTTTTGCAGCAGATTGACCCAGTTGAATCCATGAGCTTTGACTCCTTCCTTTCATACCATCAGTTCTTGATCATATGCTACCTCCTGAAGTGGCTGAACATGGACCAATTCTTTTTGGTACAGTGATTCTGTGTATTCCTTCCCTCACCTTTTGATGCTTCCTGCATTGTTCAATATTTTGTCCTTAGAATTCTTCAATATTGCAACTCGAGCTTGAAGTTTTTCTTCAGTTCTTTGATGAAATAAGAGAATTGAACATTAGATTTCAAAGGGTGGCTCGAGAAGACGAAAAAAAGTATTCATTTAATAGGCACACTTGTATTAAAGGCACTTACTCAGTTTACTTCCTCAATAATCTTCAAAACTAGGACAATTATCCTGTTTTTACAAATGAGAATGTAAAGCCTCAGAGAGACTAACTTGTTAAACACATAACACAGAATGCACCTGATTCCAAAGCTGGTGTTTTTCCAAATACACTCCACCTCACTCTGGAGCCACACGTAATAAGGCTTCATGTCACAGAAGTATTTACAGTTTCTGTCAGAGAAATGCTGCCTTGAGAAAACTGAGGGTGGAGAAAACAAGTTAGATGTTACAGCAGTTTGAAATTTTTTGATTCAACTAGTATTTTTTGAACAACCATTCACCCCTCTGTGCTAATCAAGGTGGAGGTCAAGTATAAACATGACACTCCAGTGTTATGACATACCTGGAAAAAGAAATCAATATATTCAAGGGCTAAGAAGCAGAGTTAAAGTGGCATGTCCTGTGGAATATCGAGCAAAGGAGAGAAGAATGCATGTGAGTCAGGGTGGTGGTCTGTCCAGAAGGGGGACAGAAAGAAGGTAGAGCATCGTGGAGGACCTAGAACTTGAGCTGGAGTTTGCTGTGCTTTAGCTTATGAAAGAGAAACTGGAATTTTGTCCTTGCCTAATGTTTCCTGTGGGAGCTCTGGTAGCATAGTGGCTAAGACACTTGCCTGCTAACCAGACAGCTGGCAGTTCAAACCCACCAGCCACTCCTCGGAAGTTGGGCAATCCTACTTCCGTAGTGATACTGCCTGGGAAACCCAAGGAGGGGTCGCTGTGAGTCGGGTTTGACTCGACGGCACATAAGAACAACGTTTTCTGTAGGAGCTCTGGTAGCATAGTGCCTAAGACATTTGACTGCTAACCAAAAGGCTGGCAGTTCAAACCCATCAGCCTTTCCTCTGAAGGAAGGTTGGGCAATCTACTGCCATACTGAGGATCACTAAGAGTCGGTCCAACTCGAGGGCACTTAACAACAACAACAACGTTTACTGTAACTGATCAGTTCATTGTAACTTTTTCCTTCTTATATTTTGGCTTATGACTAAATATAGTAGAGAAAAATCTGATGTTTGCATTAAAAAAAAATACTATTTCCATAGAGTGGCAGCATTGTGTCTTGAAGGCTAAGGAAAAATACTGATTATTTATCAGTCTGTAGAAACAAAGTTGATAGTGCAGCAAAAGGGTGGGTGCTGGCAAGGTCCATGGTGTGCTTGCTTGGGTCTGTTTGTCAGCCGGGCTGAAAAGAAAAAGTGCAACTCCCAAGGTCTGTGAACCTTCTTCCCTTTCCTGAAACTTAGCAGAGAGGTGGAAAACCCCTAGACCCAGATGACCCATCTTCATTCAACGAGCAAGGCAGAGAAGAGGCAGAAGCATCTGGGCCAGTCCAAGGCGCCCTAGGAGTAGGAGGACCATGGAGAAGTTTCCGACGGTGCTGCAGCAGTACCTCAAGCACCACAGCGCGCTGACCTACAGCTTGGTGACCCTGCTGACAGCTGGCGGGGAGCGGATCTTCTCCGCTGTGGTATTCTCCTGCCCCTGCAGCGCCACCTGGAACCTGCCCTACGGCCTGGTCTTCCTGCTGGTGCCGGCGCTCGCGCTGTTTCTCCTAGGTTTTATGCTGAGCGCGCGCACGTGGCGCCTGCTCACCGGCTGTTGCGCGCCAGGCGCCAGAAAGGGCTGCGGCGGAGGGCAGCGTGGCGCCCTGGTGTGCGTGCACCTGAGTGCCGCCGCCGCGCTCGCGCCCCTCACCTGGGTGGCCGTGGCGTTGCTCGGGGGTGCTTTCTACGAGTGCGCAGCCAGCGGCAGCACAGCCTTTGCGCGGCTTCTGTGCCAGGGCCGTGACCCCAGCTGCGAGGCCCAGCTGCCGCTGGTGCCTTGCAATCAAGCCAAGCTGTCGGACATGCAGGGCCTTCTCAAAGAGCTCAAGGCTCAGTCGCAGGTTAGGAGGTAGCGCGGAACCTCCCTTGTGCGCGAGGTTGGAAGGAGGGAGGGAGGTGGAGAAGAGGCAAGCAAGCTTCTGCTGCGTAGTCAGGGTTGGTGGGGGGAGTCTAACTTATACAAGCCTAGGTGATCTTTCTCTGGGCGTGCGACACCCTGGTAAAACTAAGAAGGCTGCTTGCTTCTTATGAACCGACAGGAGACTATCGAAATAAAGCCAATTAAAAAAAGAAGAAGAAAAAAAGAAAGGCACCTGTTGAGCAAGCGCCTACTCTGTGCCAGATAATGCGCTAGGTAGGCTCTCCAGGTCCTACATTATTCTCTTACGCTTCACAACAACCCAGTCGGGGTATTGTTATCTGCATTTTATAAAGAATACTCTGAGTCTCGCAAAAATTGTTTCTTCAGCCAGGAGAAAGCCAAAGAAGTGTTGCAACAAAATGGGTGTGCCCGGCTGGGAAAGGGACAACCCCACACTGCTTCTGGGCTTCAAGCCCAGAGATTCTTTAAAATGAACATTCGTTTCATGGGAAATGCAGAAAATCTTCATGGTTTGAGTTCTATGGGAGTAACAAACGTAGACTACTCTCTGGGGTCTTGACATGACTTGAAATATGACTGACTTTCCAAGCAAGCAGTGGTACTGGGGCAAGGTTACTGTGACTCCTTTCCCCTTAAGGGATCAAGTTTTAAAACTCCTTTGTTCACTATCATGACAGATGAAATAGTTCAAGCTTTATTTGAGGTATTTTTAATTTTTTTATGAAAAATGTAACTAACCTGTCATTTTGGTATGTTTTCCTAAGGTGTTAGGCTGGATCCTGATAGCAGCTGTTATCCTCTTCATTCTGATTTTTACATCTGTCACCCAATGCCTATCTCCAGTTAGTTTTCTGCAGCAGAAATTCTGGAAAATCTATTTGGAACAGGAGCAGCAGATCTTTAAAACTCAAGCCACAGAGCATGCAACTGAACTGGCAAAAGAGAATATTACATGTTTCTTTGAGTGCTCACATCCAAAGGAATGTAACACCCCAAGCATTAAAGACTGGCAGCAGATTTCATCACTGTATACTTTCAATCCAAAGGACCAGTACTACAGCATATTGCATAAATATGTTAACAGAAAAGAGAAGAATCTCAGTATCAGATCCTCAGAAGGAGATGCCCTGGTTCCTGTTCTTGGCTTTGTAGATTCATCTGGTATAAATTCCACTGCTGAGATATAACCTTAAAAATGAATAGAAAAAGGTCCTTGGAACTATTGTTTTATTTTCTAAAAAATAAATATTAGTGTTGGTTATGCTTATGACTGCTTTTTTCCCCCTTCCACATTACCAGGGTATTTAAAATCTGATACAAAGATTTAGAAATGAACTTCTTTGTTATATATATATATGTATGTGTGTGTGTGTGTGTGTGTGCGTGTGCGTGTGCGTGTGTGTGTGTGTGTGTGTATGTTAAACCATTCCCTCAGAAGTGAAAGACTGGAACTAGAGTAGAAGTCATATATTCTTAGTCTAGTTTGGCTGCTAACCAAAAGGTCAGCAGTTCAAACCCAACAGCTACTATGCAGAGGGAAGATGGAGCCATATACTTCCGTAAAGATTTACAGCCTCAGACACCCAGTAGAAGTGCTTAAGGGTCTAATGGACTCTATGACAGTGAGTTGAGTGTCCTTTCCACTGAATAACAATGCTGCTTTCAAATAAATCATGTTAGTGAAAAAAAAACAGTGAAAGAGCTATGGAACTTCAGATCTTTCTATTAGGTTGCCTGTTGTTAATTTCACATCCACTTTCTTGTGGACAACACTTTGCTCCCAACTTAAAGACACAGGCATTTCATGGCTCTATGTTGTTTGTAGGAGCTCTGGTAGCATAGTGCCTAAGGCACTTGACTGCTAACCAGAATGCTGGTGGTTCAAACCCACCAGCCACTCCTTGGAAGGAAGGTTGGGCAATCCTACTTCTGTAGTGATACTGCCTTGGAAACCCAAGGAGGGGTTGCTATGAGTTGGGGCCGACTCGAGGGCAAATAACAACAACAAACAACAACAATGTTGTTTGTAGTTGTTATGCGCCATCGACTTGTCTCCAACTCATAGCACCCTTATGTACAGCAGAACAAAATGCTGCCCGATCCTGTGCCAGCCTCACTCACAATCCCTACAATACCTGAGCCCATCACTGGAGCCACCATGTTAATTCATCTTGTTGAGGGTCTTCCCTTTTTTCACTGACCCTCCACCTTACCAAACATGATCTCCTTCTCCAGAGAATGGTGCCTTCTGACAACATGACCAAAGTAGGTGAGATGAAGTCTGGTCATTCTCAGTTTCAAGAAACATTCTGGCTGCACTTCTTCCAGGACAGATTTCTTAGTTCTTTTAGCAGTCCACAGTACTTTCAGCATTCTTCGCCAACACCACAACTCAAAAGCATCAACTCTTCTTTGGTCTTCCTTATTCACTGTCCAGCTCTCACATGCATATGAGGCTACTGAAAATACCATAATTTGGGTTAGGTGCACCTTAGTCTTCAAGGAGACATCTTTGCTCTTCAGCACCTGAAAGAGGTTTTTTGCAGCAGATTTGCCCAGTGCTATATATTGTCTGATATCTTGACTGTTGCTTCCATTGGTGTTGATTGTAGAACCAAGTAATATAAAGTCTTTGACAACTTCAATCTTTTCTCCATTTATCGTGATGCTGCTTATTGGTCCAGTTGTAAGGATTTTTGTTTTCTTTATATTGAGGTGTAATCCATACTGCAGACTGTAGTCTTTAATTTTCATTAGTAAGTGCTTCAAGTCATCCTCACTTTCAGCAAGCAAAGTTGTGTCATCTGCATATCACAGGTTGTTAATGAGCCTTCCTCCAGTCCTGCCACATTCTTCTTCATATACTCTAGTTTCTTGGATTATTTACTCAGCATACAGATTGAATAAGTATGGTGAACGGATACAATCCTGACACACTCCCTTCCTGATTTTAAACCATGTGCTATCCCCTTAGGAGCTCTGGTGGTGTAGTGCCTAAGGCATTTGACTGCTAACCAGAAGGCTGGTAGTTCAAACCCACCAGTCACTCCTCAGAAGGAAGGTTGGGCAATCTACTTCCGTAGTGATACCACCTCGGAAACCCAAGTAGGGGTCACTATGAGTCGGATCTGACTTAACAGTAGTGGGTTTAGTATCCCCTTGTTCTGTTTGAATAATGGCCTCCTGGTCTATGTTCCTTATAAGTACAATTAAGTGTTCTGGAATTCCCATTCTCCTCAATGTTATCTGCAATTTGTTATGATCCACACAATTGAATGCCTTTGCATAGTCAATAAAACACAAGTAAACATCTTTCTGGTATTCTTTGCTTTGAGCTAAGATCCATCTGATATCAGCTATGATATCCCTTTCTCCATGTCCTCTTCTGAATCCAGCTTGCATTTCTGGAAGTTCTCTGTCAATATACTGCTGCAACCATTTTTGAATTATCTTCAGTAAGATTTTACTTGCATGTGATATCAATGATATTGTTCGATAATTTCCACATTCTGTAGGATCACCTTTCTTTGGAATGGGTACAAATATGGATCTCTTCCAGTTAGTTGGCCATGTAGCTGTCTTCCATACCTCTTGGCATAGCTGAGTGAGTGCCTCCAGCGGGGTGTCCGTTCTTTGAAACATCTCAATGGGTATTTTGTCAATTCCCAAAGCCTTGTTTTTAGCCAATTCCTTCAGTGCAGCTTCAGCTTCCTTCAATACCATTGGTTCTTGATCGTATGCCACCTCCTGAAATGGATGATCATCTACCAATTCTTTTTGGTATAGTGACTCTATGTATTCCATCTATCTTCTTTTGATGTTTCCTGTATCATTCAACATAATTACCTGTGGAATCTTTCAATATTGCAATTTGAGGCTTAAAGTTTTTCCTCGGTTCTTTCAGCTTGAGAAATGCTGAGTGTGTTCTTCTCTTTTGGTTTTCTAACTCGAGGTCCTTGCACATTTCATCATTATTATTATTATTAATTTTTTATTGTGCTTTATGTGCAAGTTTACAGAGTTTGTTTTACATTCAACGTTTCATTTACATATGGTTTCACTCCCCAATTACAATCCCCAACCCTAACCCACTCTCCTCCCCTCCCTGCCCAGTCACCACCACCACCACCGCAACCACCTGTGCCCCTCACAGTTACGCACTCCCAAGCAAGTCATGGCTCCTTACTTTGCTGCCAAATCTGTGATTACTCAAAGCTCTGATTTAAAGTTCTGTCTTTGCAGGAGACATGAAGACAAGAAGTCCAGTATACTCTTACTTCACACATGCTTAGGATTTCCCTCAACCCTGCTTCTCCCTGAGAACATTCTTTCCTCAACCCTACATTTCCCTGAAAATGTCACTTAGTCTTTCTCCTGAATTTTAATGCCGGTTGTGAAAGAACTGCCTCACATGTCTATACTTTCTTCTTAGTCATTCTTCAACCCTGTAGCCCTTATGTCCCTCCGCTCTTCTGAAATTGCTGTCACCAATACTCCCACGCCCACACAATTACTAATTCAGGAGTTTTTCTTCCCAGTCTCCATCTTACTTGACATGGCTGCACTCAGCTTGCAGAATTCCATTCTCTCTTTGTCTTCTGGGACAATATTTTCTTCTGGTTCTTCTGCTACCTCTAATGGTTATTTGTTTCCTCTGCTGGTCCCACCTGGTCTGTCTTTCATGTTGCTGTCCCCAGAGTTCTATACTTGGCTCTCCTTTTTTCTCCCTTTACCTGTCTTTCTGGTGTTCTCCTCTACTCGTCTACTTTGATGGTTTCCAGATATCAGACAAATTAATGACTTCTAAATCTGTATGTGTAGACCTCACTGTTTTCCTGACTTACAAATCTCTCTCTCAAAATCTCCACTGAACTGTCTATAACTGGATTTGTGATCTGTCTCTTTCCATCAAAACCTCATCCTACTCCTTAACTTGATCACATTTCTATTCATCCCTGTTCTTCCATCTAAAACAAATCATTCTTCCTCAATTTCTTCTTATCTCTCACTTTATTATCTAGTTTTTCAATTAATTTTTTATTATTTCTCTGAAATATTTTGTTCTGTCATCTACCACATTTCTAAAGATATCCTTATCAATCTTTGCTTGAATTATTGTAATCATTTATGACTGATTTCTCATCTTCTAATTGTAAACTCTTCAAACCATTTTCCATGGGGGAAATTAATGTCCTTTTTCAATGCAATCCATATGAGTCGCTCTTTCAAAAATTTCCATTATTCTCTAACACACACACACACACACACACACACACACACACGAGCTCTAGTTGTGTAGTGGTTAAGGCATTTGGCTAACCAAATTGTTGGTAGTTCAAACCCACCAGCCACTCCATAGAAGAAAGATGAGGCAGTCTGCTTCCTTAAAGATTTACAGCCTTGGAAACCCAATGGGGGTTGCTATGAGTCAGAATCGACTCAATGGCAGTGAGTTTGGTCTTTTGATGACTTTCTATATATATATAAAGAGAGAGAGAGAGTATATCTAAAAGGTCCTTAACCGTCAGACTGCAATATACCTAACCATCACCCCACACACATGCATGATAATTGCCCTTCCATCATTCCTGAAGCTGACTGGGCTCCTACTTGCATCCAGGGCTTTGCTCAGGGTATTTCATCAGTCTGGAATTCTCTCTTCCTCCCTTTTCCTGTTATAATCTTATTCTTCTACTAAGATTCATCTCCAAATTATGTTCTCTGTAAATTCTTACCCAATTTTCCTATCAATGTTAGGGATGCAAACTTTTGCTCTGTGCATTCAAAGCCCTTTACTCATATCTCTCTTGCTGCTCTTACCATTTGTCATAATAATCCTTTGTCTATATTTTGTATAATGTCATAAATCCCTAATGAACAGAGTCCAATTTTTTTTTTTTTTTTTTTTTT